CTGCTAGGGGCAAACTGAGCAAGAACACCAAGGCGACCCCTGCCACGCTATCCGTGAATTTCTGCAACATCAGGGGACTTCACTCTAACCTAAACGCCGTCCACTACCATCTCGAGACGGCGAAGCCGGCCTTGCTCTTTCTGACCGAGACGCAGGCTTCCTCTCCGGCTGATATTTCGTATCTCTCCTACCCGGGGTACAAATTGGAGCATTCCTTTGTGCCTCGGGCTGGAGTTTGCGTGTATGTCAGAGAGGACATCTGTTCTCGACGCCTCGGCAGTCTTGAAAGTTCGGACCTGTCCATCCTTTGGCTACGCGTAGACAGCGACGACCATCCGCGCGTCGGGTGCCTCTATAGGTCGCATAGCGGTAATGCCGAAACAGACCGACTCATCGACCACGTCCAAATGGCTACAGATTCCTTGCTACAATAGGTCCCATACGCAGAGATCGTGATCCTTGGCGATTTTAACGCCCAACATGCCGAATGGCTCGGTTCACGTCTAACCGATCATGTGGGGAGATCTGTTTATGACTTTGCCTTGGCATATGGTCTGACACAACTGGTTACTTCGCCTACGCGGATTCCAGATGTGGAGGATCATACACCTTCCCTGTTGGACCTTCTGCTGACCTCTCATCCGGACGGATATCAGGTTTCCGTCGTGTTTGGCATTACAGGTCGGCGGATTGGGACGGAATGCGGTCTTTCTTTGCATCCTACCCATGGGGGCGGGTTTGCTTCTCGCCGGACGATCCCAGCGCTGTTGCTGACTCTGTCACTGATGTGGTGCTACAGGGAATGGAACTATTTATTCCATCATCTGTGGTACCCATCGGAGGCAGATCTCAGCCTTGGTTTGGTCGCTCCTGTAAGACTGCATTACGCAGTAAGCAGGAGTGTTATCAAGCCTGGGCTGCGGCTTCGGCGACTCGGGATGTAAACACCAGCACACTTAAAAAGAAGTATAACTTCGCCTCCAGGTACTTCAAAAGAGTTATTGCCAAGGCAAAGTCAGAGCACATAGGCAGAATTGGCGAGAAACTAGTTCGCCTTCCTTCGGGAACCCGTGCATTCTGGTCTCTCGCCAAGGCTGTCCAAGGGAATTTCTGTAAGCCATCACTACCATCTCTGCACAGGGAGGATGACTCACTGGCCCATGACGCAAAAGACAAAGCCGACCTTTTAGGCTCCCTTTTTGCGTCCAACTCGACTCTTGATGACGGGGGGAAAACACCGCAGACCATCCCGCGGTGTGAGTGCTCCATGCCGGATGTGCTGTTCTCACAGCGCTCGGTTCGCAAAGCACTGCTCTCCCTGGACATCCAGAAGTCGAGTGGGCCTGACGGAATCCCCCCAATTGTGCTGAGGACGTGTGCTCCGAAGTTGGCACCGGTCCTAACGCGTCTTTTCCGGTACTCCTACTCCCAAGGCGTAGTCCCGAATTCATGGAAGACAGCTTTTGTCCACCCGATCCCTAAAAAAGGCGACCGCTCAGACCCATCCAACTATAGGCCTATCGCGATCACCTCCTTGTTCTCCAAAATAATGGAATCCATTATTAACTGCCAGCTCATCCGGTACCTTGAGGATCACCAGCTGATTAGTGACCGCCAATACGGTTTTCGTCGGGGTCGATCAGCTGGTGATCTTCTGGTCTACCTGACCCATAGATGGGCGGAGGCAGTAGAGTCCAAGGGGGAGGCGTTGGCCGTTAGTTTGGACATTGCGAAGGCCTTCGATCGGGTTTGGCACAAAGCGCTTCTTTCGAAGCTCCCTTCCTATAGGCTTCCCGAGAAATTGTGCAATTGGATCACCAGCTTCCTTGCAGATCGGAGCATCAAGGTCGTTGTAGACGGTGCATGCTCTGACTACAAGCCTATTAACGCTGGTGTTCCACAAGGCTTAGTGCTATCACCAACGCTGTTTCTTCTGCATATCAATGATATGTTGCTAACTGGTAACATTCATTGCTATGCGGATGACAGCACTGGTGATGCTCTATACACCGGCCGTGCCAATATTTCTCGGGAAAACGTCGCTGAGTACCGGAACAAACTTGTGTCTGAAGTCGAGTCTTTGCTGAGCAAAGTCTCGGATTGGGGGCGACTAAATCTAGTCCAGTTTAATCCTCAGAAGACACAAGTTTGCGCGTTTACCGCTAAAAAGAACCCCTTTGTCGTATCTCCTCAGTTTCAAGGCACTCCCCTTCTTGCCTCAGCCAGTATCGGTATCCTCGGAGTCGACATATCGAGTGACGTGCAGTTTCGTAGTCACTTGGAAGGGAAGGCCAAATTGGCCTCTCAAAAGCTTGGCGTGCTCAGCAGAGCGGGACAGTATTTTATGCCGGCACACCGCCTGCAACTTTACAAGGCGCAAGTTCGGCCTCACATGGAATACTGTTCCCATCTCTGGGCAGGGTCTCCCCAGTGCCAGCTCCTTCCACTTGACCGCATCCAACGCAGAGCTGCGCGAATCGTCGACGACCGAGCCCTTTCCGATCGGCTCGATTCATTGGCACTGCGAAGAGATGTTGCATCCCTTTGCATTTTCTTTCGCATCTACCATGGGGAGTGCTCTGAGGAATTGTTCGGATTAATCCCAGCCGCCAAATTTCACGAACGTACATCGCGGCAGAACTCCCGATACCATCCACACCATCTGGATGATTGGCGGTCCACCACTGTGCGATTTAGAAGATGTTTTCTTCCTCGCACGACCTCCTTGTGGAATCGATTACCATCAGCGATTTTTCCGGACCGATACGACTTAGGGACCTTCAAGAAAAGAGCGTACTCCTTTTTAAAAGGCCGGCAATGCATCTGCGATTCCCCTGGTGTTACAGCTGTTCATGGGCGGCGGTAGTCCCTTACCATCAGGTGAGCCGCATGCTCGTTTGCCCCTCTCCTATAAAAAAAAAATAAAAAAAAAGGTAGACTTCCATAACCAGCGCCCATCAGATTTTCTACCGACTTCAAAAAGGAATCAATCGGTAATCAATTCGACTATGTTTTTTTTATGTGTATTACCTCATGACTTTTTATTGCGTGAACCGATTTCGGTGATTTTTTTATTTGAAAGCTGGTGCTTCACATGTGGTCCCATATAAATTTGATCAAGGTCTGACCAATAGTTTTTGAGTTATATTTAATAATTTATATTGAAGTCGGTTGTACAAAATTTTTAATTTTAAATTATAGAAATCAAAATTTCATCATCAAAAGAGTGCTTGAAGAAAATCGTTCGAATTTATATCCTCAAATTATTAATATCATTAGATTATTCCGTGGCGATTTAGATTTACACTAATGTATAGATTTCGTATCGTACCCATAATGAGTAATTCTGAGGATAGTAACGGCCATGACCTGCCGTTGAATGTTTGTTACAAAATAATGTAATAGTGAAGACTATAGCTACATTTTATTCCAAATAGTCGTTTAAGGGTTTTAAAAATTATGAGAACGGATACTTTTTAATTAAATAACATTATTTTGATTTGTTTAACCATAGTACTAACTTCTAAAATAATTATAATTGAAAGTGTGATTAATATAATCATAATGGATAATTAATTCCTTAAGGTATTTGGTCAGTAAGTTAAGCATTTGTGATTTAGATTAATAGATAAAATATATAATAAAGTGTGGTAGTATACATATGGTAAAGAATGTTAATTATATTGTTTAAAATTTTACCAAAAGACTAAGTATATCAAAAAATTTCTAATTGTAAAACTATTAATGTTACAATTATTGTTCTAATACTCTATATTATTAATTTGTTTTATTGTTTTCATTAATACTTCATGCTGTTGATTAGATTAGTTTTTTTAATCGCTTTTTTGTTTTTTTTAATTAATAATATTTTGATTTATTTTATATCATTTGTATGTATTATATATATATATATATATATATATATATATATATATATATATATATATATATATATATATATATATAGAAATATGTAGTTATTTATTTTCGGGGTAAGTGATAAAACCGTATTAATCCATCTGTAAAGTAAAAAAACTTGAACGATGGGTACCTCATAAATTGAGTGAATCGAACTTGCAAACACGCGTCGACTGCAGTGTTACTTTGCTTAACCGACACAATAATGAAGGGATTTTAAATCGAATCATTACTTGTGATGAAAGGTGGATACTGTACGATAATAGGAAGCGCATGTCGTAATGGCTGAACCCTGGAGACCCAGCCAAATCCTGCCCTAAACGAAAATTGACTCAGAAAAAATTACTTGTGAGTATTTGGTGGACTAGCACCGGTGTCGTTCACTGCAGCTTTCTAAAATCTGGCCAAACGATTACGACAGATATCTATTGTCAGCAACTGCAAACCATGAAGGAAGAACTAGCTGCTAAACACCCGGGATTGATAAATCGCTCTAGGCCACTGCTGCTTCACGACAACGCAAGACCACACACTGCACAACAAACAACCACTAAGTTAGATGAGCTACAATTGGAATGTCAGCGACATCCACCGTACTCCCTGGACCTTGCATCAATAGATTACCATTTTTTCCGGAATTTGGACAACTTCTCACAAGGAAAAAAATTCAACTCAGATGCGGCAGTCCAAACCGCCTTCAAAGAGTTTATTGATTCTCGCCCCCATGGTTTTTTTTCTAAAGGGATGAATGAGCTACCTATGAGATGGCAAAAGTGCATAGATAACGACGGTACATACTTTGATTAATTAAATATATTTTACAAAAAAAAATTACTTTATATTCCTCCCGTACAAAACGCCAATTTCATCTGTAACGACCCAATACAAGCATCATCCATGTACCCAGAGTATAGATAATAATAATAATACTCATTATTAATTTCCAAATAATATACTAGAATATAGAATTACCTCCAGATCTATCAAACCGTAAGCAATTATTTACGATAGTGATTTAAGTTATTGACTTACTCAAAGGTTAATTTAAAAATATGATATTTATAAATTGGAATTCGGCTCACCTGTCCTTGCACGCAAATGCGGTTGCTTTGCCAACCAATCTTTAATATGCTGCAAATCATCTTTCACTCGTTTCGGATCCTCGTTTAGCTCAACTCGAGCTTTTTCTGCTAGTTCCTCAGGTAAAGACCGTATAGACATTTCAAACTAATAAAAGAAAACAAAAAAAAATTAAAAAAATTAAAAAAATTACACGTCTTCTCTTTCCACTAGGCACATGCGCGTACTGATAACATACCACATGATTGCTATTAACTTATCAACGATTAGTTATCTATTAAAGACATTAAAACAGTGTTCTTTTAGTTAGCAATAATTTAGCAACTTATAATTTATATACTTATGACGTGACTAGGTATATATATATATATAGGTATTACTACTTTTAACATTACGTAATTAAAATTAATTCCATATTAAACATGCTATGCAACTATAGACTTACGTTTTAGTTTAGATTTCAAGCTATTAAAATAGGATTTAATGCATTATTTTAATAAAATTATTTATTTTCAAACTCATATCACCCTGCGCTGAAACATAAACAAATAAATAAGAAAAAGAGAAACGAGTAACAAAAATCTGAACTATAAAAGTTAAACACTCAAAGAAATCTCGTCGATTAAGTTAACAAAAAAATTCACATTTAAATATTTTGGAGGAAAGTCATACTCTTAGAACGAACTTGTTTACCCTGCGAAAGCAGCAGCTTGTGTCAGTGCAATCGAGTCGTTCTTATTATGAATCAAATCTTACAAAGCAATATGTATTACTCTAAGAAAGCAATATTACGAATTAAACACGGACGTAAAATTAGTCAAATTAATAATCTATGATGTCAAATTAAAGGAGATGACTTTTTTATATTTCATTGTGGTTAATATTAATGTTTACTAATAAATTAAAAGTCGATGATACAATTAATGGCCGGTTGATAAAATAATCCTTTAAAGAGTTCTTTAAGCATTATTTTTCTATATTTCACTTTACGCACTTTGCAGCACAAAATCAACAATCGGCCTGAACTAACACGGCTTACTTATGGAGATAACTAGTGTCTTATCCTTTCTGTCAATATTTATCAAACAGGTGTCTATCAGTGTGCAAATAATGACATATTGCAAAGTTTATTCTTAAGCAAGTCAACACTACAGTTTAGTAGATAACAGGCGAATTAATTATTTAAAATAATAATGTTTTTTTTTTTATTTACAGACGCGAATTATATTTTTATGGGTATGATTTTAATCGAGAAACAAATTGATGAGTAAAATATATTAAAATGATGTAGTATGGTACAAGTTAAGCAATTGGACATGATCCTCTTCCCTTGTAAGTAGCTAGGTAAGGGGCCCATGTCAACATGCGAGTATGTATATGCAAAAAGTTAAAGGCTTTGACCTCGAAAAAAAAGGAAAGAAAACACCCTAAATTTATTCTTTAATCAAACCAATAGTATCATAAAAGAAAACTCAAAAAAATTTAAGAATGTGTTAAATTATAAGAAATACAAACTTATTATAAAAGCCATTCATTCTTCCAAAATCAGTGTTAATGAGAGACTTCAACGTAAAACTAGGCACTAGAGAGAACGGTGAACTGAAGGTAGGTAGGAAATTCGGAATAACGGCAACTAACCGAAGGGGCAACTAACCAGCAGCAGGCCGATTTCATGGATAAAAAGGGACTCTTTATGATGAATGCTTTCTTCGAGAAGCAGCCCCACAGAAAGTGGACCTGGCCGTCAGGGCTCGACAAAAAATGAGATTGACTTCATTATGACGACTAGACGGCATTGTTTGTGATGTCTCAGTAATCGCAAGGGTGAAATCTGGCAGCGATCACCGAATGGACAGGTCACGTCTAATGAAGTCTACGCCCCATCTCCCTCGTGCTTTAATCCAAAGCCCCTGAAAACTTTCAGATCGAGTTACAAAATCTTTTTCAGTGCCCAGAAGGTTGCAATGCAATAGACGATATGATAACAAGTTTGTGGAAACTATCCATGCGATCGGAGCTAAGTTCTGAAAGACCCGTCGCAGAAGAACAAAAAACTCTGATCTCACTTTTTATCTCATGGCTGTTTTTATTTTCTATTTTTTTTATAGGAGAGGGGGCAAACGAGCATGCGGCTCACCTGATGGTAAGGGACTACCGCCGCCCATGAACAGCTGTAACACCAGGGAGGGAATCGCAGATGCGTTGCCGGCCTTTTAAAAAGGAGTACGTTCTTTTCTTGAAGGTCCCTAAGTCGTATCGGTCCGGAAAAATCGCTGATGGTAATCGATTCCACAAGGAAGTCGTGCGAGGAAGAAAACATCTTCTAAATCGCACAGTGGTGGACCGCCAATCATCCAGATGGTGTGGATGGTATCGGGAGTTCTGCCGCGATGTGCGTTCGTGAAATTTGGCGGCTGGGATTAATACGAACAATTCCTCAGAGCACTCCCCATGGTAGATGCGAAAGAAAATGCAAAGGGATGCAACATCTCTTCGCAGTGCCAATGAATCGAGCCGATCGGAAAGGACTCGGTCGTCGATGATTCAAGCCGCTCTGCACTGGATGCGGTCAAGTGGAAGGAGCTGGCACTGGGGAGTCCCTGCCCAAAGATGGGAACAGTATTCCATGTGAGGCCGAACCTGTGCCTTGTAAAGTTGCAGGCGGTGTGCCGGCATGAAATACTGTCCCGCTCTGCTAAGCACGCCAAGCCTTTTAGACGCCAATTTGGCCTTCTCTTCCAAGTGACCACGAAACTGTTAGACGGGAAGGGAAGCTGCAGTCTTCAGCAGATTTTTTTTATAGAATAAGGGTGACAAGCTAGCACACAGTCAACCTGATGGTAAGTGGCAGTGGCTGTGGCCCATAGACATCTACATCTATACTCGATTACGAATTAAAATGCAAATGCATTTGTCACCCGTGAGGACTAAAATGGAATGCCTCGTTTCCCGTAAAAAGTTACTCCAGTTCTCTACACTCACCATACGAAACACAGCAACGCTGAGCTGCTGTTTTATGCTGGTATTTTGTGAGAGTTTGGTCCTTAATCGGTCGACTTGACCCATTTGTTTTAAAATTATACAACTAATATAGCTGCAGCATGGCTCTACCACGTAAAACACAGGCAACAACAGACAGATCTCCAAATATATGCGGCGGGACTTAGGCAACTTCAATAGAGCTCGTATCGTATTAGAAGAAGCGATCGGGTGGAACCAGGGCTCCAAAGTCTTTGCCAGAGATTTGCCTACCACAAAGAGTCAACTGTCGAAGCTGAAGACCGAATGTGGCAGCATCGTTTCCGGGATACCATAGATTTTGAATGTGATTGAGAGATTCTTTGGGCAGCTGTCCACGTCATCGTTGGAGCTATATCTAAGTGTGAGTAATAATCCAAGAGCAAGTCTTATCCGACACTGTTCCGATGATATCCCGGTCGTCAGTCTGAGTGAAATTAGAATGGTTCTCCAGCACCTTAAAAACAGCAAGGCCCTGGGTGAAGATGGAATTACAGCGGAGCTTCTAAAAGCAGATGAGAAACCAGTACTTGAAGTTCTACGGAAGCTCTTTAATTCCGTTCTCCATAATGACACTTCTCTGGAGGGTTGGAGCAGAAGTGCGGTGACCTTGCTCGCCAAGAGAGCTTTCTTGAAGAATAGGTACCGACTGATATATAAACTACAGACCGATTTTATCAATCAGTTGTTCAATCGTGATGTTTTCAAGAGTCATAAGGAATTGTCTCGCACGCAGACTCGCCGACGTCCAGCGCGAAGCTGCCAATTTTCGAAAAGGCTTTAGCACCATAGACATATAATATCCTTCGGCAAATTTGAAGTGGCAATGGGCCGGTCATATAGCCCGAATAACCGAGAACCAATAGGGAAGAAAGATTCTCGAGTGGCAGCCTCATACCAGGGCGGCAAAAACCAAGTCGTCACTCCATTAAGTAGAGTATCTACCAGATGGAGTGACGACTTGGTAATACCCGCAGGAAGTCGATGAATGCAGGTGGCTCAGGACCGTGCTTTGTGACAATCCTTGAGGGAGGTCTATGTTCAGCAGTGGACATGTGAAGAGTTGTTGATGATGGAATACTTATCTATATAATTGTACAAGTTTTGTAAGGATTAAGCGTTCCAATGTACGCGTAGTCGGTTACGCGTACAACAGGAACTCTAGTCCGACAACGCAACGCATATACAATTTGAGCACGCGTGTCGACGCGCGGCTGGTCGTTGCCAGTTGGCTTCTGGTTGCTCAAAGCGGATGTGAACTTTCAATTTGGACTGCAAACATGGCAAACACATTCCCTCCAAATTTTCTTTTTCTTATTTGTAATGTGTTGTACAATGAGGCGTTCCGCTGTGGCGGTGCACACGATGGCTGTGTGTAACATGGTGGATACTGGCTGGCCGACTCACGAATTGTCACCTCGCGTTCCCTGTACTAGTGCAATGTACGCGTATCCACCTCTATGCGTATTCAACATTCCTAAATTATGCGTAAATTGGAAGTTGAAATACTTAGTCCGTATAAGGCTTTATAATTCACCATAGATAAAAATAATTGTTCTATAGGTATCAAATTGAAAAATTCCGAAGTATAAACTTTGCAAGGTTCTAATAAAATACCGCAATTGGAAGATAAAATCGCTCATGTTTTTTTTTTATGATGATTCAAATTCGAAGTCTCAGATTCGAAGTCTTCAGCTATCCGGCGTTATATGACGGTCGTAGTACCAAGTAACAAGATGCTTTTTCTGGACAAGTCTAACCTATTTAGATAAATAAAATATTTAGAAGTTAGTCTTATAGAGTTAGTTAAATATAATATTAAAAATATTTAAGACGGCCTCACTTATAATCGTTTAATATCGCTTACATAATATGTATTAATTATAAAACCGTGTAGTAGCGGTGTAAGAATATCCTCTACCCCACATCGTCCCGTGGGTGTTGCAGGGTGGATGCCCCTATTACCAGTCTTTTAGTGCCAATTTCAACTTTGAAAATGCACACTACGAGTATTTTAATTAGAGTGCATTACTTTTAATCACTTGTTTTTATCGGTAGGTATCTAGATATGTAATGAGCATTCATTTATAATCATACAAGTGATCCGCCCCGGCTTCGCACAG